CTTTGTACATATAGTATATCCATATATATATAATAAATATATATACTTATGTATATATACAGATTTATAATTACGTTATATATATATATATATATACATCAATACGTATGAATCGTACATCCATAAAAACACTTGCCGCATCCGCTCTAGGGGTCAGTTTGCCTTTCCGTGAGCCTTTATGTGCTTGTCTAGGGTTTAGGGTTTAGGGTTTATTGGGGTTTATTAGGGTGTATTAGGGTTTACTAAGGTGTATTAATGTGTATTAAGGTTTATTAGAGTTTATTAGGATTGCTTATTAGGGTGAAAGAGGGTTTATTATTGTTTTTGAGGGTTAGTTAGGGTTTAATATTGCTGATTAGGGTTAATGAGGGTTAATTAGGGTTTAGGGTTTAGGGTTTGTGCACAGGACGAAGACAACCCGCCCATGGCGAGCCCTGAGGGGCATCTGGTCTCCCGTCGGGGTTTGGAGCTGCTTCGGGTAGCAGCTCAAAACGGTTTAGTTGTGTCTCCTCAAACAAACAACACATTTCCTTCTGGCTCTTACGTCAGGGTTTTCCTCACATAGAGGAGGCTCTAGGGTTTATTAGGGTTTATTAGGGTTTATTAGGGTTTATTAGGGTTTATTGGGGTTTATTAGGGTTTATGAGGGTTTATTAGGGTTTAGGGGAGGGTGGGTAAGTTAGGCCCGCCACTGTCTCTTTCTTTTTGTTTCTCCCGTTGCGTTTAATCCTTTTTGGCTGCTATCATCAGGGCTGTCTCTCTCAGCTCGAGGGTTTAGGGTTTAGGAGCACTGCTAGATGCTGCAGCTGCCTCAACAGCAATGAAGCCCGCGCTGGGACTCTTCTATTTATACAGAAGAACCAGGCAACAACAGCAACAAGAGCAGCAGCAGCAGCAGCAGCACTCTAAGCATACAGAGAGCATGACTGCTTGCCGCGCTGAGCACACCAGCCTCTAGCTAGCTATCACTAATAGCATATAACCCTATCTAGCCTTGCCTAGCCATATATATATCCATAACTAGCCATGCATAGCCGTAGCTAGCCATATCTAGCCCAGCCTATCCGTAGCTAGCCATGGCTGGCCACAGCTAGCCATAGGTAGCCATAGCTAGCTGTAGCTAGCCATAGGTAGCCGTATCTAGTCCGACGTGGCTGTAGCTAGCCGTAGCTAGCCAGGTCTGGCTGTAGGTAGCCAAATATGGCGTAGCTAGCCACAGCTAGCCGTGGCTAGCCATATCTAACCGCGGCTAGCCGTAGCTAGCCTGGGCTTTAAGAGGCCTACTGCACGATATAGCCTCCAACGGCCCACTTGGGATCGTCCTCTCGAAGGGGTCGTCTTCTCCCTTGGAGCGCCTCTTCTCTGGGATCGTCTCCCCCCAGTTGTGGGGCAGAACTCTTCTGGTTGACTATCTATCTACCCTAAACCCTAAACCTTAGGGCGGCGGCCGCCTGTGCTTATGATTTAGGGTGTAGGGGGAGTGCCTTAGGGGCAACCTGCGGATGCTGCGCGCATGCTGGGGTGTAACGCTAAACCCTAAACCCTAATCGCTAAACCCTAGGACGCGCGGCTCACTGCTATTTTCTTGCCTTTGTCTCCGCTGCAGCTGCCAGGTCATCCATCGAATGCATTTAAACGCCTGTCAACGGCCTTCTCTCTCAAACCATAAACCCTAAACCCTAAACCCTAAAGACAGCGAAATTTGCTTCGTTTGACTCGCGCTGGGACGTGTTGTGGTGTCTGTACACCTCGTGGGTGCTGGTGTATGCTGGGAGTATTGTATAAAAGTTTTTTTTAATTTGTTATTCAATTCTTCTTGTTTGGTTTGTAGTTCTTCTGTTTGTTTATAAACGACAAACGCAGCCAGAGGCCCCAGTGAGCCCAGGGGCTGGCTGAGGTGCCTGTACACCTCAACGCCTCTCAACCATATCAAGCTGCATGCATGCATTCAATTATTTTATTATTTTTGAACTTATTTCTTCTGCCTTCACCTCTGCACTCCTTCAAGGAAGCCTCAGCTGGACCTGCAGCTGCTGCAGCAACCAACTGGGGGTCTCTCTCTTTCTTTGTCTTTGTTGCTTATTTCGGTGACACAATACAAAATAAACTTATTTGCTGCTTCTTCTATTCTTCTTCTTCTCATTTGCCTTGCAGCTAGCTCACCACTGGGACTGCCCAGCTGCAGCAGCAGCAGGAGCAGCAGCAGCAGCAACTCTACCAGCGACAGCTGCGCCTGAACCACTAGCAGCGACAGCAGCAGCAGCAGCAGCAGGAACAGCAGCAGCAGAAGGAACAGTAGCAGCATCAGCAGCAGCAGCACTTATTGGCCGCCCTGCATGCAACCAGCCAACGAAACAGCGCCTACTCGGGAGGTCACCCAGTGTTTCTCAGCTGTACGTACACCGGAGAGTTTATAGGAGGAGGTTGGCGACTTAGGATTTGCTGCAGGATAAACAGCAACAACTACAGCAGCATCATCAGCAGCAGCAGCAGCACGTGCTGCAGCAGTTAGCGCTGTGCAGCTGTTTCTTTAGGAGGGGAGAAGGTGTTATTTGCGTGTGGTTTGAGCGTGAATAACTGTCTCTTCTTTTAAGGTGTATGTACAGCTGCATTTTTGCTGCGTTGTGAGGGTAGTGGGGCCAGTTGCGGTGTACGTACACCTGAAGAACGATGAGGGTCCCTTTAGGCTCTTACATTGATAAAGCGGGGCTGCAGCAGCTGAGACAATATAAATATGTTTCTGCTGGCAGCACGCCAATAGACAGACTTTTAACTCCTTTCTGGGATGCCGTCGTATCTTATGTGCCTCTAGTAAGCCCTCAAACACCACATGCTGCTGCTGCTGCTGCTGTTGCTGCTGCTGCTGCTGGTTATGCTGCTGTGTGTGTAGCTGCTGTGTGTGCTGCTGCTGCGGTTGGTGTTAGTGCTGCTGGTTGCGCAGCTGCTCATGCTTTTATTGCTGCAGGTCCTGCTGCAGTTGCTGCTGCTGTTAGTATTGCTGCTGCTGTTAGTATTACTGCTGCAGTTGTTGCTGCTGCTATTGCTGCAGTTATTTCTGCTGCTGCTGGTTGCAGCAGAGTTGTATTTGCTGCTGCACTACCACATGAGCAATTTCTTCTTCTTTTTTGTTGATTCCTTCTTATCCCTGTATCTCTGCGCCCCTTGCTGCTGCTGTTGCTGCTGCTGCTGCTGCTGCTGCAGTGGGTAAGCCCTAACCTGCTAACGCTGCTGGGGTTTAGCTGCACGTTGCTGCTGATGGCTCTGACATGTTTTTTTACGCCAACTCTCTCGGAGGCGGCGCCCGCTTGGGTGTACATTGCAAATATTATCCTTCTCTTTCTATACCAGGCAAGCTGCTGCTGCTGCTGCTGAAGCTGCTGCTGCTGCTGAAGGTTTCCCTGCTGCTAGCGATGCAGCTGCTCCAGCTGAAGCTGCTGCTGAAGCTGCTGATGCTGCTGAAGGCGTTCCTGCTGCTAGCGATGCAGCTGCTTCAGCTGAAGCTGCTGCTACTGCCATTTGCTGCTGTTGCTTGAGCTGCTGCTGCTGCGAAGGCGGTGGCAGCACGAGGGGGGGGGCTGTTGCATGAGTTGGGTATTTTTCTGCTTCTGCAAATGGCGCTGCTGCTGCTGCCATTTGCTGCTGCTGATGCTGCTGCCATTTGCTGCTGCTGCTGCTGCTGCTGCTGCAGACCCTGGACGCCATAGACGGGAAGCAAGCGCGGCGTACGAATACCTCAACGCCTTTAGGGCAGCTCTTTGATCACGGCTGCGATTCCTTCTCCACTGTATGCTCAGACAAATTAGGGTTTAGGGTTTAGGGTTTAGGGTCCGGGTTGGCAGTTGAAACTGCCTGATGCATGCAAACACGGCTCGCGCCCCAGCTGCTGCTGCTGCTGCTGCTGCTGCTGCGGCAGCAACCGGCGCTGCCAGCAGGATGAAGCAACAGCAGCAACAGCAGCAGCAGCAGCACGTGCTGCTGCTGCTGCTGCTGCTGTCTCCTTGGCGTGCAGGTATTTGCTGCGTTGAGCGTTTTGGGGACGATTAGAGTTGGGCAGTCTGTTGCTGCATTTATGTTGATAGCTATTCTGCAGATGCAGCTCTTCATCTACAGTGTACGTACACCCCAAGACACCCTGGTGCCTTTCCTGCTGCTGCTGCTGCTGTTGGTGTGGCTGCTGCTGCTGGAACGGGGAAGCTTCCGATGCGTTTCTTTCCCCCAGTGGAGAGCTAAGGGTTTAGGGTTTAATGTTTATGGTTCAGGGTTTAGGGTTTAGGGTTTAGGGTTTGCGCTGCAGTGGTGGGAGCTTCATTTCCATGAGTACCGGTGCCACACCGGGGTAACAGGCGTAACTGAGGGGCAGCTGGTGGTACGTGCAGCAGCAGCAGCAGCAGCAGCAGCAGCAGCAGAGGCTGCAGCAGCACCAGTGGCACGAACAGCAGCACCTGGAACAGCATCAGCAGGAGCAGCATCAGTTACAGCCACTAGCAGCAACAGCAGCAGCACCACCACCACCACCATCAGTAGCACCACCGGCACCAGCAACAGCAGCAGCAACAGCAGCAGCAACAGCAGCAGCAGCATGCATGTTGTGTGCAGATGATGGGAATGAATGTTGTCAGTCTCCTCTTCGGCCCCGAGACCTTCACCACCTCCCTCAGGGATGTCGCCCCCGCAATGTTTCTGTGAGGGTTGAGGGTTTAAGGGTCTAGGGTTTAAGGGTGTAGGGTATATAGTTCTAGGGTTTAGGGTTTAGGGTTTAGGGGGCCTTCGTCTGAAGCACAACGGCGGCGCTGCGGTTTGGTTCTAAGTAGGCTCCTCCGCAGGGTTTAGTGTTTAGGGTTTAGGGTTTATTGTGTAGGGTTTAGTACTTTGGGTTTAGGGTTTCTAGCGTAGAGGCTAATGTTTAGGGTTTATAGTGTAGACACTAGGGTTTAGGGCTTTTTAGAGTTTCATAGGGTTTGGGCACCAGAGTTGCGTTATTATCGTTGATTGTTTATTGTTTATTGTTTATGGTTTAAGGTTTATTGTTTATTGTTTAGGGTTTAGGGTTTAGGGTTATTTGGGTGTGTGTACGTGCAGGAAGACGGCGCCAGACTATTTATTGTCTCTACCTCTGCAGGCCTTCTTTGCATTTCCTTTTTATTTGCTGCTGATGGGGATGCTCTTTTCAGATGTTTTAAATGGCAGCAGACTCGCAGCAAACCCAGCAAAAGCCGTCTGTACGTACACTCCAATGCATGCATGCAACCCTGCATGCATGCGAGCTTGCTTCTTGAAGCCCCCCACAGCAGGTTGCTGCTGCCGTTGCTGCTCTTGCTGCTGTTGTTGCTGCTCGTGCTGCTGCTGTTTTTGCTGCTGCTGCTGCTCTTTGCAGCAGCTGCTGCTCCTGATGGGTGGGGTTTGGTTTGCTGCAGTTGTGGGGTCTTTAGGGTTTTGCGTGGTTTAGGGTTTGGGGTTTGGTGCAGCGCAGCTCTTGGGTTGTTTAGTTCACGTCATAATGCATATTCCTCTCTACTCCTCCAGTAAGCAAAAAGAAAATAAACCAGCAGCAGCAGCAGCAGCAGCAAAAGCAGCAGTAGAGGCAGAGGCAGTAGCAGCAGCAGCAGAAGCAGCAGCAGTATCAGCAGCAGCGGAAGTAGCAACAGGAACTGTGGGATGGATAACAGCTACAACTCAAGGGCTGCTTTACTGTGTTCAACATGGGCCCCTGCCTGCTGTTGCTGCTGCTGCTGCTGCTGCTGCTGTTGGTGCTGCAGCAATGATATCTGAGCATCCGGTGTTGTGTTACTTGACGATAATTTGCAACACCTCCATCATCGCTCTGCGCCTCAACCTCTCCGCTACCTGCAGGGCAAGTCTCCTCTTCAGCTAGCTAGCTAGCTAGCTAGCTAGATTGATAGATAGATAGTCAGGCTTTTAGCTAGCCAGCTAGGTCCTCAGCTAGCTAACTACTGGAAAAGAGCAGCAGTAGTAGCTGCAGCGGCTGCTGATGCAGCAGCAGCTGCTGCTGCAGCATGACTAGAGGTTCGGGACAGAGTGCTCATACCGATGAAGAATGATGCGGTTGCTGCTGCTTTTGCTGCTGCTGCTGCTGCTGCTGCTGCTGTGTCTGTTGGTGCAGATGAACTTCTCTCCTGTGCAATGGCCGGTGCTGCCTTTTTGGTTTTGCTGCCTTTGGGTGTACGCGGTGTCTCCTGCTGCTTCTGGAGCGGGTGCGTTGCTGCTGCCTCATTTGCTGCCCCAGCTGCAGCTGCAGCAGCAGCAGCAGCAGCGTGAGTACCTCAGTTGGGTGCTGCTAGGCGTGCTGCTGTGGAGCTGCTGCTACTTAGCAAGTTTGCTGCTGTCTACTGTCTCTCTTCTTTGCGAGCACTTTAATATTTGCTGCTTTGGGGTAGGGCAGGTGGCCCGCCCTAAGAAGCAGTAACAGCAAACTAGCATTAGATTATATAATTATAAATATAATTTTATATTATATCTATGATTATATAATCTCAACTCGGGTCTAGCTAGCTAGCTAGCTAGCTAGGCCCGAGTTGAGGGACAACTATGCGTCATTTGCAGTGGCTGTTCACAGCAGCCGTTAAATACTGCTTCTAATAGAGCGCATGCATGCAGAAACTGCATGCAGAAGGAGCTGCTGCAGCAGCAGCAGCAGGGGAAGAGGGCTCAAACCAACGGCGAAGCTTTGTTAGCCGGAGGCAGATAAGGCAGCGTGGCGCTTGCAGCAGCAGCACGCTGCCGTGCAGCTGCAGCATGCAGCTGCTGCTTCTTTCACTTGCTGCTGCTGCTGCTGCTGCAACTTTGTTACAATCTGGCACGCCGGACTCAGCATGGGGCAGCAGAAAGCTAGCTAGCTAGCTAGCTAGCTAGCTAGCACGGCTGCCCACCAGGCATGCTAGCCAGCGAGACCCAGCTGGCTATGGCCAGCTAGCTAGCGCGAATAGACACCTAGCTAGCTAGGTAGCTAGCAAAATACAGATGAATATAGTAGCTAACTCAACATATAGCTAGCTAGCAAGCTAGCTAGCTAGCTGGCTCTTTGCATATGCTCCCTCTGCCGAGCCTTCGAAGAAGACAGGAGGCGCTTCGCCGTCGAGGGCGAAGAGATGAAGACCGCAGCCCACAGGAGAATGGTCACTGGCCATAAGCACGCCTATGCAGACAAACAAAAGGAGACACACAAAAGGAGACAGTTGGAGGGAGAGACACAAAAGGAGATACACAAAAAGAAGACAGTTGGAGGGCGACACACAAAAGGAGACACACGAAAGGAGACAGTCGACACACACAACGTTTAGGGTTTAGGGTTTATGGTTTAGGGTTTAGTGTTTGAAATAATGGGCAGACAGAGAGGCAGGGCCTCGCAGTGCAGCAAGCAAGGAGACAGAAAACAAAGACGAAAAGCAACATTTTGGCTCCCCACGAACCCCTAAACCCCAAACCCTAAACCCTCAAAGATGTACTTGGCTCTTTAGGCTCCGCTGCAAAATACTCTCCTGGAATGGCTTGCAAGTTGGCGACGACGGCAGGCATAGACCAAAAGAAAACGCGGTCGCACCACTGCAGCAACAAAAGCCCCACGCATCGTTCATTTATGCATGCATGCATGCAAGTTTGTGCATGCATGCAACTGTGGTCCTCAATAGTTTGGAGCTTTATTTTTGGCGCATTCGTCCATGTGGCTGAAAGGAGAATGCAGGTTGAGGTGTACATGCAGCGCATGATGCAGATGCATAGCTGCGGTGTACAGGCAGGTGCATGCATGGATATGCTGTGGGGTGTCTAGGGAGCTCACAGAAGGCGGTCTTTCTACCATTTTACGTTGCCCTAGAACTCCTTTCTTCATTTGTGTTTGATATTCCTTTAATATCCAATCAGGGTCCTCAGTATTTAAAGGCGGGCGCCCATCAGCCTTTTTGTATGTCGGCAAAAAACGAACAGGCGCCTCTCGCATTTGCTGCACACATACCCAATACGCCATGCATGCATGCATGCAAACGCATACAAAGGCATGCAAACGCATGCAAGCAAACGCACGCATGCAAAGGCATTCAAATGAAGCATATGTGTGCATGCAAACGCATGCATGCAACGCATACATGCAAATGAAGCAAATGTGCGCATGCAAACGCATGCATGCAACGCATACATGCAAACGCACGCATGCAAATCGCATGCACGCAAACGCAAGCATGAAAGATCGCTCCAGAAGAGGGAACACGTTGAGATTACGGAGACGCAGTGGCTGAAGAAACATCAACGAGAAGATGCATGCAAAAGCCAAGCGCCAAGCACCATGTATGCATGCATGCATGCATGCATGTGCAAGTGATCGGATGTACGTGGAGGACCATGTCTTGACCGAAGTCTTCCCTAGACTCGTCGTACTGCAGCAAACTTTCCATGTCTTGCTTCTCCAGCAGCGGCACTGCAGCAGCAGCAGCAACAGCAACAGCAGCAGCAGCAGACCCTCCCGAATTGAATACAATAACAACCCCCCGTGCGTTGGGGATTATAATGTATATAATGAATGCACTGCGCTGCTGTCTCTGCTGCGCCTTAAGTGTCTCCTGTCTCCTTCTGCACTGTCGCTGCCGCTGCAACAAACAAACTGCTGCTGTATCAATCCCTCTATTACCTCTACCTGCTGCTGCTCCTTTGGGTCAAGCCCTACACCAGCAGCAGCAGCAGCACCAGCACCATCAGCCCTAACACCAGCAGCACTAACACCAGCAGCAGCAGCAGCAGCAGTAACAGCAGCAGTAGCAGCAGCAGCAGCAGTAACAGCAGCAGTAGCAGCAGCAGCAGCAGGAAGAGTAGCTCACTGTACACCTCAGGCGAAGCCTGCAGCCTGAAGTTGAAGTCTCCCGCCCATATTACGTGATGGAAGACGCGCGTGAAATCGACTTCAGAAGAATATGAATACACCTGAGCTAACTTTTGCCGAATATGTTGTCTTGCACGGAACCTCCCCTGAATATAATGCAATAAACAGACAAAACACATAATAATCATTCATCACCCTAATATAGAGACAGATATACAAACCAGAAAAAGCTTGCATAGTTGATAGGTAAAGAGGCAGCACAGACACACAGAGCAGTGTAAAGGGATTGATGCTGCCTTCATACTGCAGCAGCAGCAAATCAAACAAACGCAGCAGCAAATCGTGCAAAGGGCAGCAGCAAATAAAGCAAGAGCAGCGGAAACGCAGGGGGCAGCAGCAGCAGCAACAGCAGCAGCAGCAGCGCAACTGAAGAAGAAGTCAACAATGGAAGAGAGTTGGAGGAGAGGAGACGCAAAAGGAGACAACAGGAGACAAAAGAGGACATCCGGAGACGAAGGGAGACACCAAAGGAGACACATGAAGACCAAAGGAAACTCAGAACGGGACAAAGGGAGACAGACAAAAGGAGACAAAAGACAAAAGGAGACAAGAGGAGTCAGACAAAAGGAGACAAAGGGAGACAAACGGAGATATAATGAGACAGGAGGAGACAGGCAACCGAAGCAAAAGCCGGCACCAGACAAGGAGACAGGAGACAGACAAACGGAGACACCTGCGACAGCCACAGCAAGGAAGTGTCTCCTTTTAAATGGAACTTGCCTTCACTCCCGAAGCAGGCATATGACAGCCAACAAAACAAACAACCTGATCGTACATCTTCAACACCAAAGTCAACGCCCCTTTGCTGCCGTTTATCCTCGCTGCACACCGCCAAACAATTCAAAAGGCATCGTATTATGCATGCACGCATGCATGCATGCATGCATACACGCATGCAAAACACAAGCAGGCAGTCAGAGTAAAGCTCCTGCTGCTACTGCTGCTCCTGCTACTGGCGCTCCTGCTTCTACTGCTGCTGCTGCTACTGGTTCTGCTGCTGCTGCTTAGTTTGTTTAAATGCCTTACTGAAGGAAAACGCCCTGTAAGCCAAGGGGGTAACGGGTCCGTTCGGAGACCGCATAGACTCGCGGATCCAGCACGCCATTGCTGTTAAAGAAACGCAACGCAGCAGCAGCAGCAACAGCAGCAGAAGCAGCAGCAACAGCAGCAGCAGCGACAGCAGCAGCAACGGGAGCAGCAGCAGCAGCAACAGCAGCAGCAGCAGCAGCAGCAACAGCAAATTCTCTGCGGGTGTACGTACACCCCACTCGCTTAAACCCTCAACCCTAAACCCTAAACAACAACCCCCTTTAATCCCCGCTATATCAACGCCGCACACAAACAACAAAACCAACAAAATAAAAATTAAAACAAAAAAATGCAAACCATAAAGCCACTCACTGAACAAACCCGCGAAAATAAAAAAAGAAAAACAACAAATCAACACAACAAACTCCTCCCCGGGGAGGCAGTGGTTGTTTGTTTGCTGCAGCGAGCAAAACCCTAGATACAATTCAACCACTCTCTATAACGCCAGGCGCAAACCCTAAACCCTTAACCCTAAACCCTAAACAGTAAACCCAATGCCCGACACAAGGGCGAAATGAAAACCACAGAAGAAGAAAACAAACTAAATCCTAGGGTTTAGAGAAAGCAACCCTAAACCCTCGGGTTGGAACCCCTAAACCCTACTAGACCCTAAACCCTAAACCCTAAACCCTAAATGGTGTCTCACATGTTGCCTTCATTTTTGTCCACGCGCCCTTGCCGAGCCCTGAGATTTTACCGTCACCCATTTTAACTCGAACAAATCTTTCGCCGTGCTCCACCTCAAGATACAGCTCAATGGCGCCGAATATGTTGTCGTCTGCACCAGGTGTACAGACACCCCACAAGGCCCAGCATAACCCCACCGCCTCCTAAACCCTAAACCCCAAAACCTAAACCCTACACTCCAGAAAGATAATATCCCTTCCTAAACCCTATATATGTGTATATATATATATATATAT